ATACGGGAGGAGATGATGGGTGATACGGGAGGAGATGATGGGTGATACAGGAGGAGATGACGGGTGATACAGGAGGAGATGATGGGTGCTATAGGAGGAGATGATGGTTGATACAGGAGGAGATGACGTATGATACAGGAGGAGATGATGGGTGATACAGGAAGAGATGATGGGTGATACTGGAGGAGATGATGTGCGATACGGGAGGAGATGATGGGTGATACTGGAGGAGATGATGGGTGATACGGGAAGAGATGATGTGTGATACGGGAGGAGATTATGGGTGATACAGGAGGGGATGATGGGTGATACAGGAGGAGATGATGGGTGATACGGGAAGAGATGATGGGTGATACAGGAGGGGATGATGTGTGATATGGGAGGAGATTATGGGTGATACAGGAGGGGATGATGAGTGATACTGGAGGAGATGATGGGTGATACGGGAAGAGATGAAGTGTGATACTGAAGGAGGTGATGGGTGATACAGGAGGAGATGATGGGTGCTATAGGAAGAGATGATGGGTGATACAGGAGGAGATGATGGGTGATACAGGAGGAGATGATAGATGATACAGGAGGAGATGATGGGTGATACAGGAGGAGATGATGGGTGATACAGGAGGAGATGATGGGTGATACAGGAGGAGATGATGGGTGCTATAGGAGGAGATGATGGTTGATACAGGAGGAGATGACGTATGATACAGGAGGAGATGATGGGTGATACAGGAGGAGATGATAGATGATACAGGAGGAGATGATAGATGATACAGGAGGAGATGATAGATGATACAGGAGGAGATGATAGATGATACAGGAGGAGATGATAGATGATACAGGAGGAGATGATAGATGATACAGGAGGAGATGATAGATGATACAGGAGGAGATGATAGATGATACAGGAGGAGATGATAGATGATACAGGAGGAGATGATAGATGATACAGGAGGAGATGATAGATGATACAGGAGGAGATGATAGATGATACAGGAGGAGATGATAGATGATACAGGAGGAGATGATAGATGATACAGGAGGAGATGATAGATGATACAGGAGGAGATGATAGATGATACAGGAGGAGATGATAGATGATACAGGAGGAGATGATAGATGATACAGGAGGAGATGATAGATGATACAGGAGGAGATGATAGATGATACAGGAGGAGATGATAGATGATACAGGAGGAGATGATAGATGATACAGGAGGAGATGATAGATGATACAGGAGGAGATGATAGATGATACAGGAGGAGATGATAGATGATACAGGAGGAGATGATAGATGATACAGGAGGAGATGATAGATGATACAGGAGGAGATGATAGATGATACAGGAGGAGATGATAGATGATACAGGAGGAGATGATAGATGATACAGGAGGAGATGATAGATGATACAGGAGGAGATGATAGATGATACAGGAGGAGATGATAGATGATACAGGAGGAGATGATAGATGATACAGGAGGAGATGATAGATGATACAGGAGGAGATGATAGATGATACAGGAGGAGATGATAGATGATACAGGAGGAGATGATAGATGATACAGGAGGAGATGATAGATGATACAGGAGGAGATGATAGATGATACAGGAGGAGATGATAGATGATACAGGAGGAGATGATAGATGATACAGGAGGAGATGATAGATGATACAGGAGGAGATGATAGATGATACAGGAGGAGATGATAGATGATACAGGAGGAGATGATAGATGATACAGGAGGAGATGATAGATGATACAGGAGGAGATGATAGATGATACAGGAGGAGATGATAGATGATACAGGAGGAGATGATAGATGATACAGGAGGAGATGATAGATGATACAGGAGGAGATGATAGATGATACAGGAGGAGATGATAGATGATACAGGAGGAGATGATAGATGATACAGGAGGAGATGATAGATGATACAGGAGGAGATGATAGATGATACAGGAGGAGATGATAGATGATACAGGAGGAGATGATAGATGATACAGGAGGAGATGATAGATGATACAGGAGGAGATGATAGATGATACAGGAGGAGATGATAGATGATACAGGAGGAGATGATAGATGATACAGGAGGAGATGATAGATGATACAGGAGGAGATGATAGATGATACAGGAGGAGATGATAGATGATACAGGAGGAGATGATAGATGATACAGGAGGAGATGATAGATGATACAGGAGGAGATGATAGATGATACAGGAGGAGATGATAGATGATACAGGAGGAGATGATAGATGATACAGGAGGAGATGATAGATGATACAGGAGGAGATGATAGATGATACAGGAGGAGATGATAGATGATACAGGAGGAGATGATAGATGATACAGGAGGAGATGATAGATGATACAGGAGGAGATGATAGATGATACAGGAGGAGATGATAGATGATACAGGAGGAGATGATAGATGATACAGGAGGAGATGATAGATGATACAGGAGGAGATGATAGATGATACAGGAGGAGATGATAGATGATACAGGAGGAGATGATAGATGATACAGGAGGAGATGATAGATGATACAGGAGGAGATGATAGATGATACAGGAGGAGATGATAGATGATACAGGAGGAGATGATAGATGATACAGGAGGAGATGATAGATGATACAGGAGGAGATGATAGATGATACAGGAGGAGATGATAGATGATACAGGAGGAGATGATAGATGATACAGGAGGAGATGATAGATGATACAGGAGGAGATGATAGATGATACAGGAGGAGATGATAGATGATACAGGAGGAGATGATAGATGATACAGGAGGAGATGATAGATGATACAGGAGGAGATGATAGATGATACAGGAGGAGATGATAGATGATACAGGAGGAGATGATAGATGATACAGGAGGAGATGATAGATGATACAGGAGGAGATGATAGATGATACAAGAGGAGATGATGGGTGATACAGGAGGAGATGATGGGTGATAAATCTGACAAATACATGCAGTGTATATATCTGGATCCGTCTGGTTATCAGCCTCAGGCTGTACATGAGAACTCAGATTGGGAGAAGCAGCAGAGGGTGACAACCGATTGTTCTGCAGAGCAAACAGCTGTCAGGAGGACAGAATTGTGACAGAGAGATGAGCTCATCAGTCTGCTGCTGCTCCCTTTACTGGCCAATCACATGGTGGAGGTGGGGAGGAGATCTGTAAGTAAATGTAAGAGAGTTGTAGAGAAAGATCAGCCCCCTTCCCCTTTGCTAGACAGGCCTGTGCTTTTGGACAGAGCTGTGTTATTCTCAGGACTGGATGGGCAGAAACACAAGTAATACATCTCCCCTGTGTGTATTTATCTGTGTACCCGGAGCTCGGCTTTACCATAAATCTATGGAAGATCCTCAGTCTACTCTAGAGAGAACTGAGATCGCCATCTACTGGCTGCCTGTGGTACATAGGAAATAATACAAAGCAATATTCCCGATATGAAGGAAATTGTTTTTAATGTTGTGTTTTAGTTCTGATCGCGATAAATAAAGAGAAAATGTATCAAATAAAATGTATACAATCCCAATGCAAGAAAATAGTTTCCCCCCTTTCTTCATCCCTCCTTTCCCCGTATACTCTTTGTAGGAACTTCCTGCGGAGGCGAGCACCCAGGAACAGCAGCCGAACAGACATCATAGGTGACTACAGTGGTGACTACAGCCGAATGTGCCGGCCTTCTGTGTATTGGAACGGCTGTTTTTAGTCCAACTTCAGGAAAGTGCAGCAAAAGGTGACAACGCTGCAGCTGAACTGAGTAAGCGTTGTCACCCAAGGACAGGCATGTGAATACCCTCTGCTGGTCCAGTTCACACCATAGCATTGCACTGAACACATGAATTCTGCGTATTTAGCAGTCTGGAAGGTGATGGAGGTTCTTCCCCGGAGAGACTCCTCCCACAATTTGGCTCCATGTTGGATTCGGTTCTATCACTTTGCATGCAGCAGGTCCTCAATAATCTGAACGTTCTCTGTGTGCTCCCAATGTCTAAATTCCACCTGAAGGAGATCCCAACACTAAATCCCCCAGATGCTAACATTTGGCCTCACCGCTAAAATGAGCTCTGAACAAACCCTTAGGGCCCCGTTGACACTAGCAGCACGCAGTGGTGTGCGCTGTGAAGAAGGCGCTGCAATGCACTCATTATACGTTCCTTTTTTTTTTTTTACCTTTATTGAAGTGTCATGACCACAGGTCAGGTGCAAGACTTTGTCCAATCAGGGCCCAGCACTCTGTAAGAGCCATGATTGGGCAAAGTCATGATGACTTTACCCAATCATGGCTCACCTGTCAGATGCCGTACAAATGTAAACAGTTGGACGGAGCTAGCTGTCACTGCTAGCTCCGCCCAATTGTTTATATGTTGCCGGCATCTGTCACAATGACATTATGCGGCGGGTGTTCGTCGAAAACGGACGGTACGCCGGTCATCTTTTTAAAAAATGATTATTATTTCTATTTATTTTTTATTTTGTCGAGTCGTCGTCGCGGACAATGCTGGACGTCGAGTTTTAGGTGATTTCTCCATTTAAATAAAAAAATCCTATGTTTCCTCTGTTGGCCAGGAAAGAGTTAATCCCTATGTATGATCCCAGTGCGGTCACATGTGAGGCGGGTTGGGTGTTATCCAGAGGAGGGAGGAAACAACAAGCTGGTGATGTTTAACCCATAGTTTTAGGTGATTTCTCCATTTAAATAAAAAAATCCTATGTTTCCTCTGTTGGCCAGGAAAGAGTTAATCCCTATGTATGATCCCAGTGCGGTCACATGTGAGGCGGGTTGGGTGTTATCCAGAGTTGGGAAGGAAACAACAAGCTGGTGATGTTTAACCCTTTGTAACACCAGAGGGGACGGGTCTGTGATGTGCTCTCTCCTCTCTCTGTGTTGTCAGTATTTTGAGTCTCTTTCAGCTTCTTTGTTATATTTCTCCTTTGGCATATATTTGTTTTTTGTCTCCCCACACACAGAGGCTGACGCTCTATTACCCAGAGTGCAACAGGTGAGAGTACAATCGGGTCAGGAAGACGACATGTGGCGACAAGTCCTAGAGAATGGCAGGTGAGGGAAAGGAAAGTGGATAACAATCTATAGGAAGCTCCATTCGTTACATTGCGCTCTGTGGCTCTCTTTCCCTCTACACTTGTTACATTGCGTTCTGTGGATTTCCTCTTATGCTCTGATATAGACTTGATTCGAACCACTGGTGAACCCCTGTACAGCAGCACTTAGACTGGAAGAGGGCGGGGTAGTACTTTCCACCAATTAGGTGCCCTACATTCACATGTGCTGACAAGAGCAGCAGCAGCAGAGAGACGACCCTCACAGCCTGTCCCTCTGTCCATTTCTCCTTTCACATTGGTTGATGGTAACCAGCTCAGTGTTTATAATAATGATTTGTAGTCATACAATAGAAGCCTCGGTTATAATTCACTCTGTTCATTTCCAGGTCGGCCTTCAATGAGCACTGGCCCTACAGCGCTCTGGTTCCGGTTGGGGTCGGTGGTGCCGCACTTTGTTGGGTATTATGTGGAGGCAAAAGGAAGACTATAGAAATGGGGGATGGATGGTGGGGACCCGGAACGAAACCTGATGAGAAGGAAGACACCCGAATCAGTCCATTCCGGGTGGAGGTCTCCGAAGATGTTATAAAGGTATAAAAAAGAAACAGAAAATGGCTTTATTGGGCTCAATATGACTGAAAGACTCTGCAAAGTATTGTAACCCATAAAAACCAACCAGAAGTTCTTTTGCATTGTTCTGGCTGTTGAAATCTCACACAGGTGGTTTGTGTCTCTGCCCCTCCCACAATGGTGAGATTTCCTCCAGTAGTTTGTGTCTCTGTTCCTCCCACAATGGTGAGATTTCCCCCAGTAGTTTGTGTCTCTGCCCCTCCCACAATGGTGAGATTTCCTCCAGTAGTTTGTGTCTCTTCATCTATTATTATTATTATAATTATGCTGTGAAAATGAGGATGAAATAATGAAGCCTTCAACCTTAATGTGATAAATATAGAAGAACCATGGGCTCAGTGGAAAAAGGATAATACTTCGGAGCACCCAAAGTGGGACATATATATATATATCTCAATGAATAAAAATAAAAACAATAGACATGGGGCAGGCAAGCTCAACACTCCAGCTGTTTTGGAACTACAGGTCTCATGACAGCCACAGCCATGACTCCAAGTGGCAGAGCTATGATAGGATTTGTAGGTTCACCACTGCTGGAGTGCTGTGGTTGCCTACCTCTGTAATATGCTCTAATTATATAAAACACTTGCAATGTTGCTGGTAGTCATAGATCCCGCCTAGGCTGTGCATGACATGATGGAGCTCAGAAGAGCATTTTTTTTTTACTCATGGCAAAGTCAAAGTAAAATCTTTAATTGACCATAATAAAGTAGACCGTCACCGAGTATAGGAGGGCCAAGTCTAAGCTAAGGGATGCGGTGCCATTGACTTCCACTAATAATATTCTCTGGTTGCACCTCTATTTAATGATGTTTTGATGTGTCCTTCTGCAGGACTGAATGTTCATTTCATCCATGTCAAGCCTCCAAACCTCCCCGCTGGACAGAAAGCCATCCCTCTGCTGATGGTTCACGGCTGGCCGGGTTCTTTCTATGAATTCTATGGGATTATTCCACTTCTGACTGAGCCGGGGAAACACGGCCTGGACCCTAACTTCACATTTGAGGTCATCTGTCCCTCTATTCCTGGATATGGCTTTTCAGAGGCACCACATAAGAAGGGTGAGTTCCTTCGCTGGCTAAACATGAGCTCCATGTTATAGGGAATTGTAGAATGAAGCAGTAGGCAGGCCCGGGGGCAGATGTCAGATCTGTGCAGTTATTAAGAGCTTGCCCCTAAATTAAATGGTGGAGGGTGATTGGGGGGTTCTGCTTTAGTTGCTGGAAAGTGCCATTACATGCCATTTTTTTTTTCTTGCACAGGTTTAGATGCCATTGCTGCAGGACGAATCTTCTACAAACTGATGCTGAGACTGGGATTTAGTGAGTTCTATCTGCACGGAGGAGACTGGGGAAGCCTCATCACCACCACCATGTCCCAGATGAAACCAGAGTAAGCACAATGCATTTGTAGCTGCAATTAAAAGGAGAGTCCAAAAAAAATCTGAGTTTGATTTGGACCCTTTTATACATTGACATGCAAAAATACCTCCAATGGTAACAAGTAGGACATCCCCTTCCCCACTATTCTACTATACTTTGTTATATTACACAGTTGTATAGTACCATATTTGACCAGCAGTGCTTGCATTTGCAGTAATCTGCCCTGAGAAAACCTAGGTACTGTGAGATGGGGTGGCCCAGGCTGCCTCATTAGAGGGACGGTCCTGGCTACACTTGTGTCTTGTTGTAGGATAAGAGAGATATTATTAGAGTGATGTAATATTCCACACGTCATGCCACTAGTCTGATGTCATCTTAGCAAGGAAAAACTGGGAACTGGCAAACGCAACCAACAAGCCTTTTTATGGTAGGAACATATTTCTGTGGGCTAAAGAAAAGTTACAGCTGGGCACAATGAAAGGTTTTCTAAAAGACATGGTTTATTATGATACTCCTTCACATCTTCCAACATCGGCTTCCATTGCAGCTCTCACCATGATCACATGACATCTCAGAGACGCAAAGGAAAATGGTGAAGAGAGACTTCCCCCTAGCAGAAGCTATAATTGCAGGTAACTATATAATGCTCGGCATGTGTCAATGACTGCTGGTCCCACTCTAGATGTGTGACTGGTGAAGTATCTCCACTTCGGGACACCAGCCAACATATCTTATCAGTCTTCGCAATAGGAAAAGTATAACCTTGGAGATGGCTTGTCCCCAGGCTGAGGCAACCTTACCAGAGCCAGTGAGTCTATTCTACTCTAGCCACTGGTGCCATATCAAAACAAAAAGGGTGCCATGTTACAGAAACAGAAGAACCCAAATACAGGGTTCCCCTGTAATTCCCTCCATAATACAGCAAAAGGAGATGCTCCCCCAAAAACATGTTCAGAAGATGGGCAAAAATGTTTTCCCAAAATCGGGGTCAAGCAGTTAAAAAGACACACTGTAAGACACTCTGCTGCTTTCTAGTTCACATTAACTCCATGCTTGCCTCAGATAATCTTAAGTGGACCTGGGGGTATGGTGATGGAGTAAGGACTGTTTCCAGCATTTTCTTTCTCTTTTAGGTCAGTAAAAGGACTCCACCTGAATGTAGTGTTCTTGGGTAAAGGTGGGTTCAAAGTGCTCATTTCGTTGATCCTTGGGCGCTATCTGCCATGGTTAGTGGGCATGACCAGAGAAGATGTCAAGCTTATCTATCCATACTTTGAGAAGAATGTGTATGCTGTGCTTCGGGAGTCTGGATACCTCCACATTCAGGCAACCAAGCCGGATACTGTAGGTAAAGAACTTTCTATTATTAAATATATGTCTAAGCAAAAAAATCAAGAAATAACCAATGTGTTCCATTAACAGACAGACCTCAAAATTCCAGGTAAAGAGTGAATGGCCCAATATATCATATAATAATCAGCAGGACAGCAACAATTTGTTCCCAAATTAGCTGTTGGTGGAATATAGTGCTCAAGTTGTCAAGAGACAGCAGCTTTTTCTATTGAAGTCAATGAGAGAATGTTTTAAGGGTCCTCTGGAGGACTGCAAGATAAGCTTATGTCACCCAAATAGCATGGGAAGCCCCCAGAGAGGGTTTTTTCAATTATTTTGTCCCTCTCTCCACGCAAAGCCCCAACACCTATATCTTACCCTAACATATATATCTTAATTTCTTTGAAATCTTACTTTATATTGGCTGTGAGGTCACCACCAGGCAGCTGAGCTGTCTTTTATGGGGGGACACCAGGGGGAGGATCTAGAGAGGTGCCATGTGTCACCTCTGACAGTTTTCTTAGCACCTCAGTGAACTATGGTGATGTGTGTGGGGCTCTCTGTGGCTGTATAGGGCAGTGTTGGCAGATTGGTTAGCATCTATTTGCATAGGCTGCCAATCACTTGATGTGAGGTTGAGCAAACCCAGGAGGTCATCCATAAGGATACGCCCACTAAAATTATGGGTGCTGTCGGTGCAGGTCTGGGGGG